CAAGAAAAGCACATGGATGAGTAGCTTCACTATTCTACACGATAATAGCAAACATACTGATCTCGTTCACTGCTGAAAGAACATTCGCTAGCAGCAGAGTAGGAAATGTCAGACGTTTAGATATCATTTTTGACAGCCTTTTGTAAAGCAGCCGAATTTCCCCGGTGTTGTCGATGGCGGTTTAGAATGCATAGCTGTGCTACCTTTTTCTTGGAAGGGGCACACATGTGTTTTTCATCGGAGTAACTTCGCAAGGCCACGAAAGTATCACGGAGGAACCGTTGAGCCGTCAAGAAATTTTGTTATCGATCGACAACAATTAAGCGCCAGCCAGTGCGAAAACAATGGCGAGGTCAGAGCAGAATTACAACCGACCACACACACCGTACATATCAAGATATCTTTTATATTACGCATCAACAAATTCAACGGAACGTAGTTTATTATTCGTCACACTTGACAGTTTTCAACCACATAAATATGATAAACTTCACATATATACGGTACCACCAGGCCTAAATCTGAAACGGCTTTGATACAATAGCCATTTCACTGATAAACAATCCGCGCTCATGTATGGTGAGCGGCTAAACTGCTTAAAAATACTTAACTGGATGTGTCATTGATTACGACGATGATGCTGATGTTATTGCGATGGACGAAGACAGCATGCAGTTTCAAAGCTTCAGTAACTGAAAGATTCTACATCGTTCGTAAAGTGTCACCTCGAATTATTGATCCGGAAATGATTACATCCAACTATTAATCAAAAGGGTGACAAGTCAATATCTACCTTCAGATCAGTCTGAAAGCTATATTTTTTAATGCAGCGTGTAAACATTTTTGAATATTTCTGTGAACCACATTCCATCGTTTTTGTCCAATCGAGTGGCCAAAAACCTCAGTCCTCGAGGATGCTAATTCATCTTGCTGAAAATTGTCAAAATGAATTTAAGGTCGTTCAGAACCTTCGTCAATCGCGCAGTTCACTGATACAGTGCAAATCACATTTAGCCAAACGATTTTTATACGAGGCTTTTTCAGAAGGTGCTTGGAAATCTCATTTCGCGAGATCTGAATATGTCTACATCTACTAGAGAACTGGACCATATAAAATGCTGTGACTTTGCGAATTGCTCAGATTCTGTAAAACAACAATGTCTAAAAAGACCGGAACGAATTTAATGCTCCTAAGCTATGTATTTATATACGTATTGACACCAATTTTGCATTTATCAATCCGCCTACTCTGTTTTCTTATATTATCCATTGTACAAAATTTCCTCACTTTTTCTTAATGCGAATTGTTTCAGGCATGAACGCAAAATACTCCCTTACTTTGCTGCGGTGTTTAGCTCTTTCTACCGGAAGCTGAAACGTCAGAATAAAGTAAAGGTATATTTTACGTCACGACCGAATTCACATTGAGAAAAAGTGAAGAGATTTATAACCTTAGCATGTATTGAAAAATGATATTCTGGATAGGTTTGTTGCATTATAACTGCCAACCACGTTTGGCGCGTTACATAAGGAAACGAAGCAGGCAAAGAAACAGCCCCTGCAACATTATAGGGCACCCTAAGCAACAGCTTATCGCCACCTCCATCGCACAGTACAGAGCTACAGGTGAGGCAATGAAATTTGAAAGATCAATAAGGCAGCCAGAAAGAATCGCTGGTTAACAATGTTCATAGGGATCTAACAGTTTTCCAATAAGCAAGGGACTCGGTTCGTATTCAGCGAAAACACTAAGGGTGTCCAGTTGGCAAGTCAGAGGGAACTCGTCGAAAGATGGACTGAGCGTTTCCAGCAGTTGTTTAACATCCGCCTTTCAAATGCACGATCATCAACTGTTAATTCCCTGCCAGCAATGGAAGACATTGCAGATCCATTCAAAATTGCTGAGAGTCCAAGAAGCATTGCTATGCCTCAATCTGAAGAAGTCCTGCGGGATCGATTGAATTCCTCCAGATTAATTTGTAGGAAAGGGTATGCAAAAGAAGCTCCACGTCCTGTTTCATCAAATGCAAGCAGGTGAATGTTTCCTAGGAGAATGGACGTGTTAAGTAACTGTCTCTATATTTAACGGGGGTCGGGTGACCGAGTGTTCCAACATTGTTACATTACATAACTGTCAACTCCTGAAAAAATTTTCTTCTGCATTTCCTCCGAAAGGACAAGGCTA